TTTTTTCTGAAGGTTGAATATAAGTTCCCTGGATATTTTTCTTTTAAACATTTTACATTAAACATTTAAACAGTTTCAACTTTTCCAAATTTTCACATGTTCCCTCTCTCTCAACATGTATCTTTCTGGGGAAAAATACAAAGTTATGACACATCTAGAAAAATGTGAGTCTGAGTTGACAGTGACAGCAAATTCTAGGTTCTTGTTTAACAAATGGCAGCCAACTTGCCCTGTGAAGCTCTGATTCCCCTGTGCATTCTTAAGTCTCCTCATTCATTTGCTGACTTAGTCCATCAGTAAAGTGCTCAGTGACCATATTTATGTGCCAGCCACTGTGCTAGGGGCCAGTTCTATGAACATGAAAGTCAGAATTTTTGCTTATGAAAAGCTCATAATCTAATTAAAATTGATATTGTTATCTGCCATTGAGCTGGGCCTGACTCATGGACCCCATGCCAAGAGAATGAAACTCTGCCTGTCCTGCACCAGGTGATGTGTCATCCACGTGATCAGTTTTGGATTGGACTGTTATGATCCATAGGGTTTTTCCCGGCTGCTTTTCAGCAGTAGGTTGCCAGGTCTTTCTTCCTAGACTGTCATTGTCTGAAAGTGGCCCTAAAACCTGTTCAGCATCATAAGAATATGCAAAGTTTCACTGACAGAAGGGTGGTAGCTGAGCATGAGGTGCATTGGGTGAGAATCAAAACTTGGTGTCCTGCAAAGGAGATTAAATTAGAATGTCTGAGGTAAATGCAGAGGAGGGACCCCAATCCCAACCCAGACAGAAGGTGTGTTCAGGTAAATGCCACAGCTGCTGGATTACAGCTGGCCCCATTTGCTCCTGTGCCCATAGGATCGTGTGAAGTAGCGCCAGCTGAAGATGTGTGAAGAAGAAGACAGCACTGCCCTGGTGTGTGACAATGGCTCTGGGCTCTGTAAGGCCGGCTTTGCTGGGGACGATGCTCCCAGGGCTGTTTTCCCATCTATTGTGGGCCGCCCCAGACATCAGGTGAGCAATATTCTGGTGCAATGGAGAAAACGGACTACACTCTGGGTCCCTCCATGTCTACAGATATCCACACATTGTCTATCACTCTCTGCCCAGCAGTCATGTAACTGTAAAAACACACCTTCAAGCATTGATGACCTGGTTAGGTACTAGCTTCATATACAATGTAGACAGGTTGTCCAACAGGTGTCTATTCTATATAGAGTCTCCCTATTTCATATATCTTTTTTGCTTAATGTCATCATTGTCTTCATCACTATTATCAGCAGTCCTTATGAGTTACTGTGCTATATACCATAGTTACTCTTTGGAAAGAAACTAAAATAAAAACCCAGGTTCCTCACCTTCATAGAGCTTAATATTTAGTCAAAGTAAACACTGTCACCAAATGCAATTTTTCATAATGTTACCTATCAAGAAATATATCTGGACTGCCACATGGCAATTTTACATTATATTATGTATAAGCAAAATGTTGGTGACAGCCCCATGACAAAAACTAGAGAGTGTCACCTCAGAAATTCCATTAGCATCAGAAACGTAATCGTGCATTGATCTGCTCTGATTGATGTTTATGACGCTGAGTTGGGCATACATTCAGGAAAAGAAATGATAGAGGCTTCTACCAATGAATGAGATCTCTCTCCTTGTTTTATCTCCATGGAAGGGAATATTTGTGACCAGCACTATTTTATGGCTCTATATTATCACAGAAGTTTTGTAGTTCTAAAACAGTCACTTTGATGCAATTTAAAATCTAGTTATGAGATATCCCCCGCTTTTTTAAAAGCTTTACTTTAATGATTTTTTTTAAACAGTAGTTGATTAATTCAGGCAAATGACTCCATAGCTGATTTGTATGGATTAATCCATTAGCAACTAAGAACCAAGTAGTCATTTATAGACTTTTGCTTCTAATGGTTAGAAAACCATAGTTATATACTCTTGGGTAGGTGATGGTTTAAAAGTATAGCTTGAAGGACTTATAAGAAGAAAACTGTCATTTAGATAAAATGTAAAATTTAACAAATAATTATTCAAATATGTGTCAAATATGTGCCAGACAACTTGCTATAGTGATGAACAAGAGAGCACCACTTTTGTATTTATGGAGCCATCAAGGAACAAAGAAGGTAGAAAGTAAAATGGAAAGTGGCCTTACCCACAGGGTCTCCTGTTACTAGGAAACAGATTCAATTCTATTTTCAATCAACCAAGGGACCTTGCCTAAGAACAAAGTAACAATCAGTCTCATTGTACTGTTGGTGTAACTTAAAGGGGAAATTTCTAGCTCAACAATTTAATTCTATGTGATTTGATTGTAATTAAATCACAAATTTTGGGAGAGGCTGACCTATAAACTGTTGATCCTTTTTAGGGGGTGATGGTGGGAATGGGTCAAAAAGACAGCTACGTGGGTGATGAAGCACAAAGCAAAAGAGGAATCCTGACCTTGAAGTACCCAATAGAACATGGCATCATCACCAACTGGGACGACATGGAAAAGGTACTGGCAGGCTCGCTGCAAGCTGAGCACTCAGGACACACGGCTCCGGGGGCCCCTGATTGAAAACAGGGAACAGAATTGGCCCATGTTGCTCAACTGTACTTTTACTAGTAAATGTTTATTCTGAACTATTTTTATTAACTGAAAAAAAAAAAAAAACCTACCAGAAAAGTTTCTTCAAAAACAAAAAACAAACAAACAAAAACCCATGTTTAACAGAGATTATGAACTAATTAAAATTAAAACCAAACTCACTTCGAGTTGATTCAGACTCATGGCAATCCCTGTTGCGTTTCTAAGCCTGTAAATCTTTTGGAAGCAGACTGCCTCATCTTTCTTCTGTGGAGTGGCTGGTGGGTTCAAACCACTAATCTTTTGGTTAGCAGCCAAATGCCTTAACCACTACACCACCAGAGCCTTCATGAACTAATTAGAAGGAGACATTTCTGCAGATTAGAACAATAGCTCCTGGCTAGTGGTGAGAATTAATGGTCTGTTGCCCAGGTCGACTGGATGACCCTCCCAGCATAAGCACTATATGCACAGCCGCCCAGAGCATTGCTCTCCCTTCTTTCTTATCAGAGGCTGCAGGGCTGTCTCTCTAAGTACAATATTGCTAAAGATGATCTGAGAAGACGGGAATCGTTTCATCTCACCCATTCTTAGAAGGTTTTCCCTCATACACTCTGAAAATTTTAAACAAATATTTTAGTTTCCACTCCAAAAAAAAGGAAGGAGCTCCGGTGGCACAGTGCCTAAGGCATTTGACTGCTACCCAGAGGGTTGGAGGTCAAACCCACCAGCTGCTCTGTGGAAGGAAGACGGGCCAACCTACTTCCATAGAGATACCACCTCGGAAACCCAGTGGAGGTCGCTAGGGGTTGGAATTGATGTGATGGCAGTGGTTTTTTTTTTAATAGAAAAAGGGACAGTGACATTGTAGGTTTAGTACATTCCTGAGTGTCCCTTGAGATATAATAGTAAGTATAGAAGCATAACAGTAATTAACAACATTTTAAAAGACATGCTTCAAAATAAATAAATAAAAGATCTCTTCTGTGTTGCATTGAGTGGATCTTTATATCCTCAAAATCCATTGCCTTCAAGTCAGTTCTGACTGTTGAAAACCCCGTGTGTGTCACAGTAGAGATGTAAAGGCACATTATGCTTGATAGGGTTTCAATGGACTTGGGTTTTGCTCAATCACTAGATGGGACTCCTTGAGTGAGTTACTCACATTCTTTGAGCTTCATCTCTGCATCGGGAACAATGGAGACATATAATGAGTACTTGTAACATTTCACTTGAGGCTCGTTTCATTTAACTCATTCTGGTCCCTTTTCTGGGTCTGCAGTGCCCCAGAACAACACACCCTTATGTTTCTCCTCTCTGCCCCCTACTAGATCTGGCATCACTCTTTTTATAATGAGCTTCGTGTTGCCCCTGAAGAGCATCCAACCCTGCTCACTGAGGCGCCCCTGAACCCCAAGGCCAATCGGGAGAAAATGACCCAGGTAAATACCACCTCAGGACCCAGCTGTGGAATGTGGGGGATGGTGGTATTTTTGGTTTAAGGAAAGTCCTGGTTCAGAGGGGCAATGCAGGACAACAGAGAGAAAGAGTAAAGCCATCTACCAGGGGTCCGACCACTCACCAGGAACTCAGGGATTCTAAGCAGCAGGAACATAAACAATTTAAAGACACCATTTAATTTCTCAGAGTTTCAGTTTTCTTGTCTATAAATTGGGAATAATAATATTACCATTATTTGTAACCTCTTATTTATTAATGTACAACTGAATAAAGCAAAAACGACAAATGCATATCATTCAATAAATGTCATAATTATTGTCATTATTGTTACTTATCTGAGGTTCAAAATTCTTTACCACAGCAGATCATCTGGCTCCCCAGCCAGAAAAGCTTTCTACTTTGTATGAGCTATTAAATAATCATATCAAATATCAATTAATGCTTGCTATGGCCAAGCATTGGGTTAAAGCATTTTACAATCATGTGTCTTTAAATCCTAACAATAGTTTTGTAAAGCAGGAACTATTATTATCCTGATTATATATGGTCCTTCCTTAGTATTCTTGGGAGATTGGTTCCAGAGCAACACCCCTCCCCCATGCCAAAATCTGTAGATGCTCAAGTCCCTTATATACAATGGTATAATATTTGTGTCCATCCTTCCTTATACTTTCCATCATTTCTAGGTTACATATAATACCTAATGAAATGTAAAGGCTATTACCGTTCTCTCTTAGCCTTTGAGAGATGGCTTTGACCATTTAATTGCTTCTCTTTCCTCCTCCTGAATATTTTCCATCTGCAATTGGTTGAATTCTCTGGATGTGGAACCGTGGATATGGAGAGCCCCACAGTAAATGAAGAAGTTAAGGTTCAGATGCATTAAGTGATTTTCCCAAAGTCACACAGCTAGAAGTGGCAGAGTTCAGAATTGCCCCATGATTTCCCAGCCTAGAAGAAGAATAAATGCAAATAGTGCAAGGCTTTTGCCTTGGCAGAGACCAACGCACTAGCAGTTACCCTATATGCAGGACCGTCTGTGGGCCTAGGAGTTTGATCTTCACGAGCATTATTATTCCTGCGAATGGAGTGAAGGCAGAAAAATGGTTGGGAATTACGGCTTCCAGCAAATGCTGTCAGACATTCTGGTGAACAGAATGGAGGTCTTACAGATGGAGGAAGGGAGGCTGGGAGCATCCTGCAATGTACACACGTCACTCGAACCTGGAGTACTTTTCTTGTCTTCCAGGAATCTGGGGCCCCTCTCAAGGCAGCCAGAGTGGACTCTGATTCAGGAGCTGGCAGTGATTCAGCAATTATAGAAAAAAGTCAAATAAATGAAAGGGAACCTCAGACAGAACTGGGGTTGAGTCCAACCAGTCTAAGCCTCAGCTTTCAAAGATCTCTTTCTTTGAAACCTGGAAGTTGTCTTTTCTTTCTCTTTGGGCTTTGACAGAGTTACGAAGTCCAAGACTGTCCAAGCAGGAAGAACCTCAGAGCTCATGAAATCCAAACTCCTCTGTTCATGGTTGAGAGGCTGGAATGAAGCCAGCACTAGTCAGTGATTCGTTTATTCTCCCAGGTCATATTCCAGGGAAGGCCAAGCCTTCTCCAGAGCGAGGCCCTCTTGACCCCCAGCTAAGTCCTCCCTTCTGCATTCTATCAGGGTACCCATTGACATCATTTCTTTTGTCCCTATGACCAACACTGCCCTGGCCCTCCTTTATTTTGCTCTCCTCTGCTCAGAACCAGGCAGGCACATTTGCATGTTCCCTAGAACATTC